TGTCGTCATATGGCTGAAGAGAGAGAGAGAGAGAGATATTCCAATATGTTCAAGTGTTGAGATACAAAGTCTCAAAGATTGTTGTTATTATTAAAATAAGTATTTCGCAATAAGTTATATTTTTGCGAAAAAATATTTACGGTCGTAGTTTTTTTTAGACTTCGCAGAACATTGTCGCATTGCTTGCCTGCGGGTAAGCAGTATGCAAAATGACACTGAGCGAGCTAATGTCATCCTCTCCACAGCAACGCCTGGAGGCAGACCTTAAAACAACGAGAAAGGGCTAGACGCGACCTCGCTGAATTAGGTCAGACGATGTTCAGTTTTGGTTCAAATTTAAATTTAAATCACGTTACTATTTTTGTATACAGAAAAGAGTAATACGTCGAAGTCGTCGCTGGTATATTTTAACGAGTAATGCTAAAGACCAATGATAATTTTCTTACCCAAAAAAATTAATAAATTACATATGCATAAATTTGCCTTCGTGTTTGGTTGCAAAGTTAAACAATTAGGGTGGAAGTTAGTTAACCGGGAAGCCATTGGCCAGCTTGCTTTACGGTACGCCACAAACCGTCCTTTATTTTATTTGGACCAATTCCAAAGTTTGCTTCGTCGCACGGTCCAATATAACATTAGCAAATATCCCGAAATAATAAACAATATAGTACCGTTGAAATGAAAAATCAAAAGAGCATTGCAAACAAGAAGCATTATGAAGACGATAAAATAAACAAAGTGATAGATATTGTAGTTTATCCAAATACTTAGTTCTTTTAAACGGCATAAAAGAATACAGAACATTTACCATGAGTTTCCATTATCGAAATATGTGTACAACAACACATTAGCTCTATCATTTCAGAAAGAACGCGAGGGTCGATTATTTATTTTTGTACACGAGACAAAATAATTTTATAATTATGAGTTTTTATAATAATATGAACAGAACGTTAAATTGGCCAAACCTATGTACAAAACATTCTTGTTTATTTGTCGACAAATTGAAACTTTAAGTTATGTGCTTCAATTAAAAATGTTTAATGTTTAAATGAAGGTCTTAATCGTTATAGCATCAAGAGATGCGTGAAATTAAAAATAGTAATTAAAACTTTTATTATCTGTAAAGATTCGCACGCGGCGGCACAGTGGCGCCACTTTTTACTGTGGCTCACATTAAAACAATACTAATGTATATCCATACCCATTAATTAACTATTCAGTTATAAGATGACCTTGATTTGTAAGCATTAATAGCTCTCTATAAATGGCCGCATGAAAATGTCCAAACCGTAGAAGCAGTCCAAGGACGTTATAAATCTATTCTCGGAGGATTTAAAGATGCACGAGTTTTTCAAATGCTATAAGTAAGTCGAGGAGAGGTCGATAAGTTTGTACAACGACGGTGCGAAAATTTGCACGGTAGGCACTCTACCGGGACGTGGTCGCTCAAAGCACGCAATTACTAATATTAACGCCCGGGGATCGGGAGGATGAAATTGTTAATCTACTTAATTAAGTTAAACCAATCGTGAAAAATCGGAATTTTGTCGACGTAAAGTATTATTTAATGCGGTAAGTGTTGTACCGCGCCGGTGTGGGATTTACACACCTTACTTTAATCAAATCCAATTTTAATTCATGACAATGAAATGCACTTGCAAGAAAAATAAAATTACTAAAAAACGCAGCAACAATCAATTAACAAAGAACAAAATACATTTGGATAGGTATAGACACAACATTCATAATGAATTTAAACATACTGTCTCATGATTTAGCTTCATAATGAGATCGTTCAATAAAGTACAATTAAAAAAAAACTTTCCTATAAATATTTTGCACTTGCCAAGGCAAGCCAATAAAGTGACGAACGAACACAATAATTGATCCCAAGGCACTTTCTAGGAGGAAAAATCTAAATTAAATTAATTATAAAAATCAGTTTGTATGTATGAGACATAGGAATCAATGATACGACGGCAATCTTAGTGCAGATTGACGTTATCGTCAACTGGTGGTGCAGCCGCTGTTCTTTTACCCGCATAGCTTACACGCATACATATAAAAAATATATGGATCGAGCTTTGAAAATCTAATTAACAATCATCAAAGAACGATAAAATTTATGCAAAATTAACTATTATATCACTTGTGATTGTGTTTACAATTGGTTTTTGAAAATAAAGTCAAACATTGATTTTCATACATTGTCTCGTCTGACAAACCTTAGTCTATTGGGTCTATATATTCATTCAGTCATTTAATGCAGACTATGAACAATACAGCACTAGTCATTACCCCCTCCATCAGGCTAACGTACATTCACGACATATTATTAACAATGGTGCGTGCAGTGATTAAACATAATGCGTATTTGCGACGTAATTTCTCCTTAACATTTGCAGCGTGTTTAGCGTGACGCGGCGGGCAATATCTTCGTGTTCCACGCGTGCTTTATGTGACATTGATGATTGGGCGAGTAAGGACCGGTTCGGATACGGCGTTAATATGACAATTTGGGATTATTTGTGAAGGTTGCTTAATGAATTTTGGTGTTAATTAGCAAAGTGAATGAATGGTGTTAGGCGTGATATGTGCATGGAACAATGAACTTTTCTAATACTTTTTTAAGTGCAGATTTGGGCCATAGATAACAAAAGTCGGGGGCATAAAAATAACTCTTTTGCATTTATCCAACATGGGGTATAAAGTTGGGGATAGACTTCATACTGTTTGCGTTATCGTGGCGAACAAAAGCTATTGAGTAAAAGCTATATAAAGCTGTGTTTAGAAGAAAGTAAATATGTACAAATTAAATGTATATACAGCTTTCTAATCGCGTATTTTTACATAATGAGAGTAAAATTGCTAACATTACCAGTTTGCGGGCATCGTGGATGGGTGGATGCTCGCTTGCCGTACCATTAATACGCCAATCATAGACTGAAACGTTAAAGTCCCGCGTACGTTATTATTGATTTCGCATACTAGTTAAATACCGCAGTTACTATTGCTTCTTATCATACTCTTACTAATAGAGGCTAATCTGATATATTTTGACGACACAAGAACAAAGAAGATAAACTAATTTAATGCTATTTTAAATACTGGCTGCAACAAACAATGACAACATATTAATAAAAAAGTAAATCTCTATATAGTATATCTACTGGTATTTAATAGTATTTAAAAATATAGAAACACTAAATTTACGGTTTCGTAAGTATTTATACACGGAGTGAATTAAAATGCGTTACAATGTTGCCAAACAAAAGGTATACGAGATCGACTTGACTGACAATTACCACTGTACCTATTAAATAAAAAATTTCAATAGGCCGTCAATACCAGGACATCGTCAATGATAGGGCAAAAGCTGATCAACTTACCCCTTAGTAAACCACGAAAAATGCTTTATTTCATTTATTCGAGACAAAAACAATTCACTCGATGTTAAGTGTCCAACTGTAGGTACCCACAAATAATCTGTATAATATAGAGTTTCGAACTTCCTTGGATACTAATAAAGCCTTTATCAATATTTTATTGTCGTTTGCTGATTAAACTACCAACACTTTTTATATACTCCACATTTTTATACTACTAAAATAACGAATCCAACTCGTAACGGATTTTGGCTAACCCAATTACGATACAAGAGAGTAAGGACAAATAATATCTCGGAATCAGAGTATTAGTATAGAAAAAATAAACAATAATGGTATATGAAAAATGAGTAAAGGTAACATGGACTTAATTTGCTTGGCGTCCACTCTTGCATGAAACGCAAGCGATGAGTTCAATTTAACATTTCATCCGCGCTTCAAATGGAATGTAATCGAAATTAATACTTATTAGCTGAAGAGATGCATTGCGAGTAATAATCAAAAGCCGTCGTTTTAGTCTAATGCAGGCAGCAGGGGCGATGGTAGAAATTAATAGGATCAATTATGAGGGGCCACGATTGACGGACCATCTGAAATCTCTCATTCAAATGCGAGCAGCGACCAGTGGACCGGGCCAGAATTAATAATGCCGAACGCAGCCTGTGTAATATTTGAACTGGGTAGCGTCCGTCCGCCCAAACACTGGCGAAGTCCGGGACATTCGAGCGGCTGACGCGCCGGGCCCAGCCTACACCTATGTACCCAATGTAATGCAATGAACGATCGCTTTCCCTGCATCTATCGACCGTATCTGTCTCGCTGTCCTTTCAGACATGATTCTACATTTCATTTATAACGTTTTGACTTTACGCTGTACTCAAGGATTAGGGCTCAAGGAGCTTTAGGCTGATATAAGGATTACCTTAAGATTGATCTGAAGATTATTTAAATTACTTTACACGGGTAGGAAGTACAAAAAATAAATCGAACACCCTCTATACGATAGATTAGGTTTTTTAACCAACCCTTATACTTAATTATATTATTCATTGTAAGAAATATATACCTGGACAATTTCGCTTTTATAATACTTATTCAAATAAAAAAGTTTTTCGACTAAGTATGCTAATAAATTTGTAACTCTGCAATTCATCGTTATAATTTTAAACTGGCCAATATTACTTAGAGCCTAACGGCCACAATACAGATTAGACAAACAAGTAACAAATTGCATATCACAGTTACCTTGGAGGCTTTAAATAATATATTGCAAGCGCATAGGATTGTATTCGTGAACCGTATAAATTCACAATGAGTGGAGTCCGTTTTAGCCGGTCAACTGCATTCGTCTGTACGCCGGGTACGATATAATGACGAGCGAAACGCTCAAAGGAAACTTTGACTAATCAATCGCTAATTTGTAAATTTATACTAACGAGTAGGTTTTATTCCTTAGCAACTTTTTTATTATCATGTTTAATACGGTATTAATGGGTTTCGACTGACGTCACACTTCATTAACACAAAAAAATAATAAAGTATCCATGTTACGGCAGTGAAATTCCATCGTAAAATATGCTTATAACTATTTATATTAATTTGTATTAATACCTGATTATAATAATATCCGTTGATGAATACAGCTTCCGGAATTGTGCTCCGGTTTGTTTGTCGATACGGCGCTGTGGTACTGTTGTGCTGGTTCGCTGCTGTGTGTAGATCTCCTGCTCCGCTGCTGCACCGCTGCTACACCGCTGCTGCTCCGATGCTGCACCGCTGCTACACCGCTGCTGCACCGCTACTGCACCGCTGGTACACCGCTGCTGCTCTGATGCTGCACCGCTGCTACACCGCTGCTGCACTGCTTCGATCCACAGCACACCGCAACAATCTTTAAAGCCTGTTGCACCTAATAAAAAAAACAAATTTCGTGAATAAAAAAGTACGATATTAGTTTATAGTTACCTTAAAGACAAGAGTTCCTACACTTTTGGGAGAAATTAATCACTACAACAAGGGTGAATAGATACTTTATTTTGTTCAACCGTAGATTTTCACTGATAAAACATTTGTACAAACATATTCGGCGTTTCGACAGTGGAAACTCACAGCAACATTGAGTCAAATAGTTGTAAGCCCAACAATAATTTCTATAATTTGGAAAGTGCATAAGATCTGTAAAATTAAAAATAATGAAGTAAATCTCTACAATATGAAGCGAAATAAAAATGTACCTATGTTCTATTACTTCCAAGTAAAATACAAGCCTTTCAATAATTTAATTAAATAAATATTTATATTTAATTACTAAAATTATTCACTTATTTTGTCTTATCGTATCGTGACGTGTAAAAGCACCTTAAATTCAAACCAAGATCGCATATACGCAGTTTAGTTAGTCGGGCTCAAATTGACTGGGCGGAAGTTGGCCATCCCAATTATTGGCCGGCTAATCGAATTCCCTTGTCTAGGTTACGAAGACGCATAGGATATCCCTTAGATCGGCACCTATCAATCCAACCGGACTAAATCTATTTGCATATGTGATATGAACAAAAATACCTTGATACATTGTATCACACTTTAAATTGTTATTTCATTAAATGAAGCGAAAACTTTGTACCCTTTTTTATGCAAAAATAAAAATCTTTTATTTGAATTATGGTCGGATTTTGTAAGGATTGTACTTCAAAATAAATTAGCAATTTACTGTCAAAGGAATTCTCTATAACATAACAAAAAAAAGTTCTAATTACTTTACATCGAATATTGCCATTGTCCGTCTCCAATATCGTGGGTAGCACATTGAAAATACAACAAATTTAAGAGGAATTCATTTTCACAATAAACAGTTTCCAACTATTTCCAATCGTTGCATAATATTTATTTTATTCAAAGCGTAAAGTAGTCTACTTACAAAGGGTCATAAGAGGCTTGTGTTTGCGATTGTTCGCTCGCTATCATTGCATATGCGGTAGCTGGGAGAATACCATTTGCGTATACCATACACCAACATTAAATATGCGCTGTAATCAGCTTACGATATTACATGAAAATTTTGCTGTACCTATCGAACAAAAGGACCGATCTCTCACAATATAATTGTATAAATGATGCCCGTTTATATAATTTCAACGGGTTTCATTTGATGAGTAAAGTACCGCATCTATTAATTCGTATCTATTTTTAAAACGAACATACGATAGGTTTAAAATATCATATGTGGCGCAACTTATTTCTTTATATTATTTAAACATTGGCAAAATATTTTACATAGCATATACGAGTAATACAATATACAAAATGTACCTTAATTAAATAAAGGATTGCATTAGCAGACAACTTAATTGTCTATAACTGAGCGACAATAATAATTTGATTTGGCACCGAAGCTAAACCGGCATATTGTTCCCTCATTAAATGCGACGCGCGTTCTGAAATACAAACGACTAGTAACTGATTGACACGACGCCTACTGGCCGTATACATAACTAAAATTAAGAAGATAAAAAACTTTTTGAAATTATTAATCTCGCTACCTCATTGCGAATTGGTTGACTTGATAATATATTAAATTTCTATCAGAAGTTATGTGCAGGATGCATCGTAATATTTTTCTTTACAATGAAAATGTCACATAAATTTACATAAAGAATTCGCAAATCGATAAAGACATTATTACATGGCGCACCCACCGCAGCTAAATTTGTACCGTATTGCCAAAAAGTGAGGTCAAAAGTCAATATCGTAAAAAGTCATGTTAAGGAACTTAGGCAAAAGCGTATTGTGAACAGCAAACAGTCGTTGGGTGGGACCTACTCCAGTCGATGTTTGAGCGAGCATAATGATTGTTGGACGTTACGATAATAAAGTATTACTTTATAGAATGTTTGTATAAGTCACAGGCGCGCCCGTACACCGCAGTTATACTTTATTATACTACTACCTACCATATGAAGTAATAAAAATGCAATGGAAACTTACTACGTAATACTCATACCAGTGGATTATACTAAACTGATATTGTCTAGCAAAAGCGATTAACAATTGCAATATAAAACCGAAGTAAGGAAAGTACGAGTCATATCTGGAACCCAATTGGAGTAAACGGGGACAATCTGCCTAATTTTTAAAGAGTTTTTTACAACTAAGTTTAAAAAAATCTTCGTCCAATATTTCATCTGGACAGGACATAAAAATCGGAATTCCTTTTAATACTTGTGGACTCTAGGTTGTGACATCGTCGTTCATCAGTGTACCCGTCTGCGCGTCACTGCTATGAAATTTCGACACCAGGGTATAAATACTATTCAAATGTGGCCTGGGGGCATGTTACTACATGTCTACTGACGGTTAGCCAAACCGTCACAAACAAACGCACACGCAGCAACATCCAGGCTATTGATTAAAAACTGACGTCCTATCAAAATCCAGTACGTTACGCGTTACTGGCATATCGACAGCAGGCCTTTCGCTATTCCATTTGCCCTTCGGCGTCCCGATTATTGTGTGGCGGTTTGGAAATCGTAAAATATCAAATTCAAACGGGCTGAAGGGATCTGGAGTACGGGCGTCGTCTCCACTCCCATTGGCTGTTCATAACTGGATATAATTTAAAATATTATCGAGCCGTAAGCCTCTCACCTTATTGCAATTTATTTTCGCAGGGAAGATTATTCAATTTGCTCTCGTCTCGTGATACATTAATTTATATATGGGGGATGTAATTTTCATGCGTAGGTATAAGCAATATTTCTTCTTTATGTATGTTAATAGTTAGTGAAATAAAAAATCTACCTCGGTAAAAAGCTAATGTACCTTAAGCGTATTTAAAAGGAAAAGGTATGTAGACTGATATGATAAATGATAATAAGGCTATAAACATATAAAATATTTTTGCGAAAGTCAATACTTTTAGCAATAACAGACAAGAAAAATACAAATTATACGTTTAGAACTTTCATGTTACCTAAAAATATGGGTACATGATGTTAAAAGTAATATCTCAAGCCATTAGCCACTCAGTCTACAGTTTTGTATTGTCCAGCATACGTTAAACCATTTAAAAATGTTATATTCCTGCCTTCAGCGGACGTCAAAAGCTTTTCGATGTGTTTCTGTTCCACGAATATTCAATTTCGTCTATGTTTTTAGGGTTGTACGAAATGAGTTTAAACTTTGAATAATAACAAAAAAAAATTATATCAGTTGATTCGAAACTTCTGATAAAGCTTCGTTAGCTTGTACATCGTAAGATTTTTACTGTTGAGCTAAATGTCACAAATTAATCCTTACAAAGAAGTACGTGCTGCTTTTTTAAATCATTGTCCAATAAATCCATTATTTAGAATTTTTTTAATATCTAGCAATACAAAATAGTTTAGTTAAAAATATAAAAAAATCAGGACAAAGAGAACAAATAATCACTCATGTTTTAAAATTTTCGTATTTAATGTTTATTATTCGCTATATCGATAAATTCTTACCATCCCTAATAACACTGAATGGACAGAGTAGCGATGAAGTAAAATCGATGTCATTTGCGGTTGCAAATTATAAAGTGGAAGATAATTTTCGTTTCAATATTGGAATTAGAAGGTTGTGACGGGCCGGTGGCGAAGAGGGGCGGTCTGCGAGGCTTCCGTGCGGATATTACACCCTACGGAGGCGTCGCCGCGCCAGAGCCTTCGCATTTTCTATATATAAAAATATAAAACCGTCCACTATTATATAACAACCATTTATATACTTATAGAACAGTTATGCTGAAAAACCTTACAGTGCCAAATGTGGAAGAAACCGTTTACAATGTTATGGGACTCATAACAAAAACTATGTCTGGAAACATGAAACTCTCGGACTTATTACCGAAAAACAAACACAGGTACGCACAGGTACAGGTATAAGGGTTGTAATTCACGATATTAATGCAATATTTTGTCATGTTTACAAGACATTACAATTAAAGCCGGTAGTAGTTAAATAGTTAACTAGGACGAGTAGTCCTTTTCCGGATTTCTCTAAACAATAATTGCGAGGCAGAAATAATAAAGTGACCGCGACTGGGGCCACATCCGCTGGCAATAAAAATGTAAAACGTCACCGATAAGCGACAAAGGCTCGAGTGTGAAACGTTAGAGTTGGGAGGAATCCATTTTTCGATATCGATAAAATATTATCGCATACTAGGGACGGCATTGGGGAAGGCCTATTTGCGATGCATTGGGGCAGTTTGACTGGTTAATGGTGATGATTCAAAGTTAAACATTTATTTATTTAATAAACATTTCATAAAAAATAAAACATTGTTAACACAAGATGTAAAATGTTGTTTTAATAGCTGCTTTTAAGGGTTAACTTTTACAATGTGTAACTGTCTTAACCGCTTTCTCAAAAGAATGAATGATAGAACTGTGAGGTAATTTAAACCGCTCATATTAATATATACGTTACCAAATTGCAAGATATCAGCGCTACTCTGTTCCAACAAAATATAACTTTAAAAATTTATAGTATTAACAGTTTTCAAAATTTATAAAACATCGACAAGTAATCAATGATAGGTTCGTACATCACTAAACGCGCGGTCGCTTCACTTTTTATGTCCGGATCAAACGGTGGGGTATTTTGTCACATAAAATATAAACGCGGCTTACTTCCTTCCCTCATTGGCGAGTTTATCGTACTGATTAATATTGTCCCGCAGCGCAAGTCTTTCAACTACCCCAACAGGAATCCGTTTTACGGTTTTAAGTTATTAATCTAGACTTCCCTAGTTTTTGAACCACGAGCT